ATACTTTCTATGATGACATCTTTTTCGTGGTTTATGTAGTACTCTTCCGTTCGAACCCAGTGCAATTGTCCATCGAAGCAGTGGACTGGAATTCAGATGTATCAAAATGAACTTTTCTCCGCCCATTGAATACAATGTCTACTTCACCTTGTAAAAATTTCATGTTCGTTGCTGACTACTTAATTGTATCTTTCGATTTAAACCGTTTCTTTTTTACTAGTAGCAAGTTGCTACAATGTGCCTATCCATTTTGGAACGAAAGGTACTAGCGCAATGAAATCGCTCTTCGTGGCTTTACTACGAGTGAAGGAACGGCGCAGTCCGGCGACGGGGGGGGGGGGCATTTTGCACTTCAGCTGCTTCACTAGTTCCGGTTTACAAGTCCCACTCTGGTAAACCTGTGAACTCTTGTGAAGCTGGAGCAAGCTCATCAAGCCACCATAACGAAACCTGTCGCCCTGTCAACTCTTGTAAGCTCCCGAAATGTAGATGGCTCGACACGTCGTTTGGAAGTAGCAAAAAAGCAAAATCCGTCGCACAAGTGCCCTAAAGAACCCATCAAGAAGCGTTTCCAGTGCTCCATGAGCAAGGAGGTGTTGATTCAGGAATGACGCCAGATGCCTCCTAAATTCAGTTCCCTTTGATGCTCGAACGATAAAAGAAAGTCAGGCTAAAAAATCTAATCGAGGTTAACTCTACAGGAGGCGGAAAAGGCTCAATCTATTAAGACTCAATATGAATCGCCTCAGTACTAAACAAAGCAAAATAAAACAGCGCCTACAAATGTGATATGATCTCTAAGGTATGACAAAATATTGTGATGGGGGAAGAGTGTTGTGAAGAGTGCTGCTGATCACCACGCGCACAGTTTGGGAGTCAGATCTCGAACCAGCTCAAGTCTGGGCATACCAAGATTTCCATAGCTTCATTAGTAGCTGGGTGGCCTTGAATTCCTCTAGGATGAAATGACAGACCCGTGCATTGCTTCTGCTATCCCCTGCAAACTGCTGCATAAGCGAATTGCACCCAATACGGCTTTACGCTTTTGATTGGAAGTGGAATGTGTGATGCACGCAAAGGACTGAAGAATACCAGAAGCTTTTCAAGCGTTTTCTCTCTGAGAAAGTCTTTCTAAATAATATAGTCACTGAGAAAGAGTAGGTTAAGATTAGGATCGAATCTGTCCGTCAGCATGACCAGATTGCGCAACGCTACTTCTGAATTTTATCAAGCTAAATCCTACCATCTTGACAGTTGTTCTCAAAGTAGTCAACAAGCTGGTCCTGTACGCCATCGACGAACAGCTCCGGCCAGTCACTCCGTCGTTCGCGATTTATAATGCATTCGCCGGTCTTGTAGAAGAACATCACCGAACGGCATTGTGTGTGTAGTGACGTTGGGGCTGTCAGGCACCGCGACAAGCATTCTGACACTCCGACGACAAAAATAACCTGAAACTACGGAAGAACTCCCTTTTTGTGATTGCTCTTCAATCTAACCTACCCACTCCAAAGCAGTGACTTTGTGATAACCTTTTTTCCAGCGACACGGCACGTCATGTCGTTGGCGAAAAGGGTACGAAGTCACTGTGCCCTGTCGCTGGTAAGTCTCTGCAAAATTCTATTTGCATCCTTTGGTACGGTCCTTTTCCCCCTGCCTACTATCTTGCGAAATTTTCCCAGCTGCTTAAAGCACTTTCCCCCACTATTCGGGAAATTTTTTCAGTTTCTTTTCGATTTTGCCGTCGAAGGGAGGTGAGGGAGGGGTACAGGGGTTGCACCAAACGACTACTGAAATTCAGCAATCGAAGAAGCTAAAGTATATGACTTTGGTTTTGCCACCGACTAGACCAGGAGAATTCCTTATTTCTAAACAGTCAATAAAACCCCAAATACACAAATAAGTATGTGAAGAGTAGTTGCGGTGCCCAGAGCCAGCATCTCGGTGATAAAGCGGTCGAGTTGAATCCTGCAGCTCGGTCCCATGAGGCAACTGTGAGCCTCAAAGCACTAATCAGTAAGAGCGCGATCGCGAAGTCTGAACGCGCTCTAAGAAGTAGCCCACCAGCAAATGAGTTGTTGTATGCATTTTGAGGAATTTTGTGTCGAATATCTGTGGAATATCCTCGACCTTGTGATGTTTATTCCAGGGAAGATGGAGGCAAGTTCAGTGGCAAGTGAACCAAGTATAATGCGCGAAGGAGATGTCTTTTAGCGCACTTTTGCTATTTCCTTGCCTGTCACCGCTCTAGTGTTGAATAAAAAATTTAACACTGTCAAAAACGCTATTTTGCGGCTTGTTACAAGTTTTTTCGCTACTGTATCGAGGAGCAAACCATTAGGAGGTGGTGCCTTGAGCTTTTCTTTTGTTCGTCAATTTTGTTTTTTCAGGGAAATACATCAATTCAAGCGTACTTTTCAAGACACACCTTCATTGCATGACCGATGAGCAGACTTTGAGGATACCTTTCAAACGCGTACGGTGTTGAACAAAGAGCATCGCCTGGAACATCATTGCCTGAGAACAAAAAGGGCATTACTCAAGTCGATATAAACGCATTCGACTAATGCAAAAACAAACAAGTTTAACTGCTATCTAATGGAAAAATGCTGTTGATGCACTACGCTCCAGAGGGTGCGTCACCATGGAATTGTATTCGGCTTGGATGAGGCATTTTGCGTTCTCACTAGTTCCTTCAACTAGTTCATGTGAACTGTTGCGAAATTGCAAACTGGTACAACTGACCAATCTGGTTACAAGAGTTTACAAGTCTTCACATGGTGACATGTAAAGGCTTCGCTGAGTACCTTCTGTTGCCCTCACCTGCCGAATTGGGGAGACGGCCAGGAGTCACCGCCGCGCTTGAAACTAGGTCACCGGGGCCGGAGGCTGAAGTTCCTAGCCGTGAGTCTTAAAGGTCATTTTGCCAACTTCCGATCAATACGACCCTATCGCCATTTGCTTGTAGCGTTCTCTCTTTTCCTCATCTTCCATCTGCCAAGAACATGTCCAAACAGGTAGACATGTTCAAACATGCAAACATGTTAAAGCATGTAATCGCCGCGCGCGGTGACCCACTTCCCAGCGCGGCGGTGAGTCCTGACACACACCCGCCGAATTGCGCTAAAACTTTTTCTTGAAAGAAGCAAAATAAAGATTATATAGCGATCCTTATACCAAAAGCTTGGACGTAACTCGTATCAACGAGCATCCAAAGTGCCTGCTCCAATCAAGCAGAACACAGTCGTACCTCTCACGCACACCTGTTGAAAGAAGGCGATCGGTCCGTCGGTCTTCGTCAGAACGCTGGCTCCGAACGGCTGCCCGTCTTCTGCATGAATAGAGCATTCTTGCGACCGCGCATCGTATTCGAATGACGAGCACTCGTGACCCTAAAAATAAAGACTCTCGTGAATGGAGCGCTCATGGAGTAAGAGTAAAGCCAATGCTTCGATGGCCACTCCGCGACTGGTGGTTTCGAACCCCTCCCAAACAGGTGTCCTGGTTTTGCTTCAACAAGCAAGTATCCTCTTCGCTTCTTCAGGATGGAGGAAGCGAAATGCAATAAGTGCACCTGTAGGGGGTCCGGCACTTATACCTACGAGGGTATGTGACAAGAGGATCGTAATTTGCCGCGCTGCTGGGCGTCGCGTGCGACGTCCGCCCGCAAAGGACGATGGTTTCAGGCAGTAGATGGCGACAACATGCAATTAAGGACCGAAAACAGTAATGAGTGTCTACGATGACGGGGTCTACATGAAGTCCGGTGCTCCATTCGACAGGTTAAAACGAGTTATGAAAACGCCGCGCGTGGCGGTGCGGCGAATTACGATCCTCTTTACCGTCTCCCTACCTACGATGATGCTGTTGCCCTCTCTCGCTCATCGCTTTCCGGTTTCTCTTCCGCACTCATCAGTTTGGTCACCTGTCGCGCATTACAGTTGATTCCACCTTCTTATGCTTATCCAGATCACGGTCAGCTGTGAGAGGGAGCCTTATTGAGTTCGGCTTCTTGCTACTTTCTTCCAAATAATAGTGAGCCGGTATACGATTCTAGTGTCTGAACCTTATTGTCTACGAACTGTGATTGTAGAAGGTCAGTTTGACGACCCACTGCACGGCCGCTTGATAGCAGTCGAGATTCGTGTAGCTCACTTCGATAAAAGTTGAAAGCTTTTACCACTGATTAATCTATTTCAGGGTGCAAACGCATTCTTCTTTCATTCAGAATCGTAGCTTCTTACTGAATGTGGTACCGTCTATACACTGGCTTACGGGGTCACACTGATATACAAGTTCTATAAGAATATGGTACAAATTCACTTGAACCTGTAGACCGCATGGAAATTTACGGCAAACACGGAACGTTCTGTTGTACATACTAGCGAGTTGTAATGGCGTTAGAAAAAGCACACAAATTCAAGAAAGAGGATTTTTGTATGTGCCCGTACCTTTAAACCACCATCTACAGAACGCTAAAGAGACAAACCTCTACTTTAGTTGTGCACGCGTTAGCGCACATGTTCAGCGTAACATTTTTGATGCTGTGAATGGCAAATTCCATCAACCGCGTGCCTTCTGATCGCAAGTATGTCGTGGCGTTTTCCCCCACACAAATCGCACCTGAATTTCGTCCCGAATCAAATAAGAATTTGCAATGGATCAGAAGACTTTGATTGTGAAGCATCGGTCATACAGGCATTTCTATTATTCCCAACAGGCTCAAGTTCTCTCTCATCATTCTTTTTGGGTATGCAACATTCTTTGTAGTTGAGTATTTTTAGCTAACTGTACAAGTCTCCATGCGTATGCTTTCATATGCATCTGCTAACGATTCTGAAGAATTGCATGGTTGATTTTTCAAAACCGTTCTTCCTGTCCGATAGAAAAAAACAAACGGAAATGGTTTCAAACATGGTTTCATATCACACATTTTACTTGAGGGAACAGTGACAAGAGTGTAGGAGACACTAACGTAGAGTGTATAAGACTTTGCTGGCCCCCTACATGGGCGTGTAGACTGTAAGAGACGCTGGCGTAAAGAGTTTAACAAGGGGAACAGAGTTTCTTTCTGTAGATTGGTTGACGTGTCCCTAATAAAGAGGATCGTCAGCCTCCCGAAGAGAATGAACCCATAGAGATAACGCGGGCTATTCCTTCCATGAAGGGATAGAGAATGTCCGAAAAACAATGAAAATAAAAATAAGAGGAAATAATTCTGTGAAGGGAGGAAAGACTTCATTAGATACTGGAAAGAAATGAGTCCCTCCCTCTAAAGTTTTTCTATTCACTTTTAGAAATATCGAATGAGATCCAAAGCAGTTTCCTATATGTACATTTCATCCATATTCATGTGTAGGGTTAGCCTCAAAACGGCTTTCTTTTCTAATACAAGTTTGGAATAAAGAGCGAAGATTGTTTCTAATGTGCTCTATAACATTTGATGAATGAATTTCGCCTCTGCAAAATAGTGTG